CAAGCCCACAACAATATCTTTGGATTTATAATGGCGTTAAAGTCAGCCTGCATGTGTGACAGCATCTGTGCATAATGTTTGAATTAGCCTTACATATATATTTGCGTGTTTCATTGTGCCCATTTCTTATTTTTTCTTGCTGATGTTGTGGACCAGCTTTCAAGCAAATGTGTATGGTACTGTGTAACACACAGTGAGTCTTCTGTAATACTAATGATAGTAATTAAAGCCACTTTAGAATACACTGGCACTTACCTCATTGCTAAACTATTAGATTAGTTGTAGAACTCCTAAACTATTGAAGCTCTTTAACTGTTTGAAAAGGCAGACAGCTGAGTGGCTATGTGGCTAGCACTCAGACTTAGCAGCCAGAAGATTTCAGGTTTGTCTGGGTTTACCTGTGTAGAGTTTGCATGTTTCTCCCCATGAATGGGTTTCTTCCAAGCAATCCAGTTCCCATCATCAACCCAAAACTTGCACAGTAGGTAAAATCCTCCATCTAAAGCAGGCCTGAACAAGCACTGCTCCTGACAAGTTTCCCCAGCAGCATTGCAAGATGGGTCAAATGCATAGGACAAATTTCCCTGCGGAAATATAAAAATGTCATAACACAACTCCAGGGTTAGTGTTGTTGTTTTTGATGAGGAAATAACATGATAACAGTTTAAAAGCAAAAAAAGTTGTTAATATTATAGGATATTTTAGGATGTGCAGTTACAGTAAAAAATATTATTTTTGACAGGCCATACGTCCACCAAAATGAAAACTAAAACATTTCACATTTTTTTAAATTAGCCCTGCTCTGTGACTCTGATGAAATGTCATTACTAGAATGACTTTTAGTCTCAGACATGAATTTTCACTCTCTGTAAATTTAAATAGCCCTGTCCTACTGCTATTTATCTTTCTCCAATAAGGTTTCATTATGCTGTCGCGCAGTTAATATTATGTGAGGTCCAGGAAAAAGGTGCTATTATCCATAATGAGTTTCTTCTTGAGTAATTTAAATGTCCATTGCAGATAGATGCTCATTTGAATTTCAATTATTAAATTCAAATACACGGAGTTTTCAATCTAATTGTTTGATGAGGCATGTGTAAAGAACCTGTCTGGTTGGGTGTAATCACAGTAAAGTATGTGTACATGTACTGTAATGCAATATACAAGCTTAAAGTCCATATGTCATTTGAGAAACATATCCTATAAATAGACTTAAGATAAGAAAACCAAACAGAAATCCAATTACATATTCCTTTATTTTGTTGCTGGAATTATAACATGTCTAATACCAAAGTGGATTAAAGAAGTAAATTATAAAGGTAATCCTTACAGTCCAGTTCTTCTATGCCCCATACTGACAGAAAATGGCCTCTTAAAACAAGTTTTAACTGTGTTTAACACTGTGTTTCTTTGATAACTAGTTATGTCAGTTTAAATCTAATAATATTTATATTGGATAAAAAGCTTTCAGTTATACTCCTTTTGGATATTTCTTCTGAATATAAAAACAACCTAATCGCCATAATTTTTAAACAATCTATTATTATAAGTTTTGATGTTTTCTATATTTCTGTCTTTTCTGCCAAATAACGTATAACCAAACAGTATACAGATCATTTTTTTCTTTGCCCTCATACCCTGCGCCCACACTCTCATCACTCACAGGAAAGCCCCGTCTAGTGGCAGCATTAGCTTACGGAAGCCACATCAGTCAGTCAGTGTAGGGCATGCATGAAGCCGAGATTAATGGAACGCCACGCAGTGTGGTACTATGCAAAGCCCTTATATGTTTGACAAAAAGGGCATCCAACATGTGTTAGACCTCAAAGACAACAAACATTTTGACCCTTTAGCTTTTATCACACTGTGCTTTATGATGCAGCCCATTAATGATGCATAAATTCAATCTGCACACACCAACCGACTATCAGTGCTATAAAAATACAGCTGTAGTAATGTCTTTTCCTGGGGACAAAATAAAATGCACACTTTCTGGTAGAGCAGCAGAGGGCAAATATTAAAGTGATATTTCAAAACACAGACTTTTTATTTTCCACATTGAACAAATAGTATTATGTTATGGCGTAATTCATTAGTGACACTGAAGCGTAGAGAAGGTAAAATGCTGGCAAGTTGTCTGTATTGCTTGAAGTTGTATTTTAGAAAAGAGTGGATACAAGGCTACATAGGACGTGGTTACCTCTATTATAATCTCACCTGTATTTATATGTAAGTCTGTATCTATATTTATATCCACGTCTCCACAACACCTGTATTTTTATTTTTATTAAATTATTCCTCCCTCTTGCAGGTTTTATAAGGTGCAAAGATGCCAGGTGGTCATTAATGTGTGCATGCGCTTAGTGTGTCCCTGGGTGCTGTCCTGCAATTAAGAAGCAGTTGCAAAGACTGTACTGAGATAAGCCCAGTGGCACAAAGTCTCCAACCAAAAACCCCTAAAGGTAAGCAGTCTATAATGAATGGCTGGTCTGTGATTAATAATGGGCTACTCAGTCTTATTTTTGCTATGAATCATAACACATTCTTTCAACATTTGTCTTGGGAGGTAGTAGGAAGTCAAGGGAAATGTCTGCAGGAGAAAAGCTTAAATTGCATAGTCTGTCCCTTGTCTTCAGAACTGTTCCTACAGCTGTTCATCATCTGTCATGTGTTTGAGCTACACATGGTATCTCCACATTCTTTAATCAATGCACTGATATGAATTTAAATTATTTTTGTTCAGTTACAAAGCGAATAGCCAAAGAAAACAAACCCAAAAACACACTGTATATACAACTGCTTATAAGCCATAGATTGAATATGAGCCATAGCTGAACTCAGATTCTAGATAGTTCACAGGCAAATGCTACTATCTGTTAGAGGTAGGAATTCTTCAAACATCCAACACCTGTTCTTTATCTTTGGGCCCTACCCTTTGTCAATTGCACCAAAGCCTTCAAATACCTTAAGATTCAGGGCCAATTCCATCTTTTTTTCTCCCTCCATCACTCTCATAGTGATGTTGGTGATTTGTATTGTCTTTTTGTAAGAAATGTCAGAAGAATTACGCAATTATTATGTATAATATTTTTCTCTTTGTCTCCAGACAGTTCCCGATTACCTGCTAAATTCTACAGTGTTGTGGTACAGTAGTGAGATTGAAAGTGCTGACTATATCAGGAGATATAAAAGCAGCTTCAGGTCAAATTGTTGCAAGATAAAATGTTTGATCTCACTTTCCAACTGATCTGATCCATACTGTTAAATAATTTAACAATATCTTATGTGTTTCCAGGCAGTAGTCTAATGTTGTCATGATTTGTGAAAGACAAGCACATCACACAATAGTACCAAAACAATCTTTTATTAGAAATATCTTGTATAAAAATGAACATGCTCTACATATTTTCTTTTTCTATAGATAATTCATAAATATCCAGGCACTGTAATTATTTTTAGCTTTCAGTATTTTAATAATTCAGTACATAAAGCAGACATGATCAATCCATTTAATAACATACATTAAACTTGCCATTTAATTTCAGTCATCACTTACATATTCTATTTTGTAACACAGACAAAGTGTTTTAGAAAAATAAAACGGGGCTGTGGCAATAAAAGCAAGAAATGATCATATTTCACAAACACAAACAATCCCACAAACAATACTTGATCAAATGAAAAAACAACACTTGCCGCAACATCTCAGACTTTTGTTGTTGCTGAGAGTTGAGAGATTTATTCACTGAATTAGTTCAAATTCTCCGCAGTAGTTTTCCTTCTGGACGTCCTGCTGCTCTCAAATTGGTCACATGACTTTATGGATTTTGGACATGCAACATACAGATTTTTGCATTGCTGAAGGTAACAATAGAGACAAAGTCCAGCGTTACGGACAAATGTGATTGGAAACACCTTGAGAGATTGTACACCAAGAAATGTACACTGAGGCCAATGTGGTCAGACTCAAAACACCATGAGTGAAATCATGGACAGACTAATGTTATGAAGCTTATGAGGCACAGGATGAGAGCATAGGTCCTTGTTTATTAAGCATGCTGTTTTTATGCATACTTTGAGCATTGTAATATATATTTATTTGAACATCTAGTAAATATATTGCAGCAGTTTGTGTCATAATTATGTCAGTATGCTGGGAATGGAATGTAGCACTTTTTGGCAACTTGACTTGAGAATGTATGCAGCATAATAAAGAAGGACCAAGAAATATGAGATGTTAAAGTATGAATCATCAAGTTTTGTACGACTGCTCCTTTAGTGCTTGAAATGAGTCTTTTATTCAGCAGGTGTAACCCAGAGAGGAAATGGTCCGACTCGACATCTCCACTTGTGAATGACAACCGTGACAAATGTTGCATTCCATAGACGTTGACAATACAGCACAGTACACGTGACGCTCCCACAAGCATGCTCTGGGACTGTACACTAGGATTGCCAAGAGATGATGCCCTTGTCATCATCATCAGTTTTATGCAAGAACTAAAAAAAAAAATATAATGATCCACGGCTCTTGATTGTGTGGCTTAACTTAATGTACTATAAGGCATGTACAGTTTGGAGAGTACTGCAGCTTCCAGCTCCAAAAATAATGACTATTAATGTTTCCTTTGTCAACTGCATTTGGCTCGAGCAAAAACAGAAGTTGCCTCTGTTTTTGTCGAAGTAAGTCAGATGCCTCAGTCTCGCGGAGAACTGAAAGCGTGTGCTGTAAAATTTCAGAAGGAAAACATACTGTAGGCTCCAGGTAGTTCTCTTGACTTGCACTCGGAAAGCTTACACATGTCTTCCAAAGGGTGGCAAGAGAAAAATGAACTGTCTAGTATGCCTTATCAGCATCCATTAATCTCTCATATTCGTATACATTTTGGCATTTGAAGTCTTTTGCTGTGACATCCTCTTTCTGCTTAGTCAAGTCTTGGAAATCCTCCAATGTCTTCAGCACAGAAGACCTCTTGATCTCTTGCCTCAGTGTGGAGTTCTTAGATGGCATGGTTACTGTAGCTTATGTATGTCTGCTTCGACGCCAGAACTGTAGGATACAAAAGAAAGAGTTAAAAGCAGTCATTTTACTAGTTTAACTACTCGGTGGAGCTTTTTTTTTTTAATCATTTTATTGTTGCTTGAGAACTTTAATGTCATTAGTCTCAAAACAAGTTAATAATTAAAAAAAAAAAAAATTTATATTTATTTGACAATGGCAATAAAGAGCAGAGACGACATAATATAACTTGTCTGAGACTGGAATCGAGCCGGGCACACAGCCTGACATGTGCAGCAGTTACTGGTCAGTAGAGATTGACCAATATGCATTTTGTCATGGCCGATGCCGATACTGCCATTACGCTAAAAAGGGGCAAATATTGGTCTGATATATTTGCCAACCGATATATCGGTCTAGCTCTACTGGTCAGAGCAGTTATATTTTGAAAATGTATGATATTTTTTGACACACTGAACATGTAGATATGACAATTTTCAATAGTTTCAATAGATACCAATACAAAATAATAAAGCAGACTAATGGATATTTTGCTCACAGCTGTTAATTTTGTATTATTTTACCAAGCAGATCACAAAGGTATTGTAAAATGTAACCCATTCAGATGCAGTTCTCGCCCCATGCATGGCCTCTCTGTTGATCTGCATCAAGCAAAAGCATGCGTCAGGTGTGTGGTTAAAACGTCTTAGTGCTCAGGCAGTATGTGATCCATCTTGGACATCAAGTGTTGTCATTAAAATGTGCTATTTATTCCTGAAATAACAGCTGTGAACAAAACATATAGAAGCTGTAGTCTGGGTCTACACTGTTGGTCAGAGGTAGGCATACCTGTGTGCTGGTGCAGCCATGCTGATATGCAATATTTTTCTAAAGTTTTAAATGCTAAGAAGGAGGTAAATCAGTTCTGAATATACAACTGTCTTCAGCCAGCATGCTTCGAGGGGAATCACATGACCAATCTGCCAATCTTCCCACCACTGCCCTGGCTGATTGAATATGTCAGAGGGGATGAATCCAATCAGAAGACAGCTGAAAGCCAAAGTCAGGGCAGGGGACATGTAATGGTGAGTGTGCCTGTGTATTTGTCAGTGCCATGGTGGCTGGGTGAACGGGCCCCTATTCCCACCATTTCATCCAAAGCATCTTCTCAGAGAAAAGCATTGATAAATGGACCTTATTTGAATATTTATGTGCTGCAAGGCCAAGATAAAGAATAGATGGTCCAGAAAGAATTGAAGCTGGCAGCCTCATCTGTCTTTTCCTGTTCACTCTTATTGTTGTTGTTGTTCCATTACTGCAAATTCTTTTTTTGTCAACAAGGAAACAAATTACAGGGGACACGTGGCTATCGCCTGTCTTCTGCTCTCAGGCTGAGTGGTGTCATCTTCCCACATTAGCAGATTTTACCAAACTGATTGACCATTTTACAGCACTGCACACTAATATTGCCTCTCCGAGTCAATGTCTGATGGTCAAGTAGGATTTGTGAGGGTGTGATTACTGCCTTGTCATATTAAGATTGGTGCATTTTAGTCATGGGCAGCCCAAATGCCAGTGAACTGAACAGGCAGGCAGGAGTGTTATGGTGAATACTGGCAGACAAAACATTAAGACAGAAGTGGGTTATTTTTAACATGGTTACCTGAGTCTAAAGTCCCTCACAAGGCTCCCCTCCCTCTACACAGTCTGATACGTAAGCACAAAGAGTATTTGTTAGTCATACCTCACGTCAAACACTAGAATCAGCAGAATAGAGTGGGGCTAACCTGAGATAACTAGCCAAAAAAGATACACACATGCAAGTGTCTCCAGACATTTTTGAGCTACATGTCTTTTCAGAATAAAAATCGGGAGGCTGATAATGATTAACACCATGTTACTTGAATTTTAGTCTGCCCATAATCCCACAGGGATCATGTATTAAATCTTATTTTCCCATTGTATGCAAACTTTTAAAAATTGTATTCATTAAATACTTTTCCAAACAAGGGTTCTTGCATTTAACAAAAAATTAATGCATCATTTTAAAATATCTTTGTACAGATGTCATTTATTCTGTCAGTAGCATGCACACTGCTCAGTCCAATGTGAAATTCTGTTTATGTTTGTGCCTGTAGAAAAGAGAAATTGCAATCAGCAATATACTTTTAAAATCCTTCATTTTTACTTTATTTGTGCTTTAGTCCTTGTCCTGTTAGCATCTCCCCAGGCAGGATACCAACCTTGTGTTTCCAGACTTTCACAGAGTTCAGACTTGGCTTCTCCGTTGGGCCGCAGACCGCCTTTGGGGTTGAACTTGTTGGACATCGTTGCTGCGGTGACCACCGCCTTCAGGCTGCGCTTGCGCTTGGGCACGTTCTGCTCTGGATGAACCAGAACTACGTAGACTTTAGGCATGTAGAGCATGCCCAGTGACACAGATGCACTGAGGCTTACAGAGATGGTTAAGGTTGTGGTCTGGATGTACATCTATTAAAATAGACAGAAAACAAAAGATATTTCAGAATAAACATATATTGTGTTCTATTTCTTTGAATGTTTTAGGGAAACTTGTGCTCCCTTGTGGTGTATGCATTGTGTGTATGTTCTGTCCTGAGGGCTGACAAAATGACATCAGTGTGTGCACTGTGAAGCCACCAACAGCTGTAACTCACAGCTGGGCAGCAAATCTAATGCCACAGGCAACGAATGTGGAACAGAGATGCGCATATTAACAGGATCTGCAATGATTTTCAAGATTTATTCACTTATTATAAGCAAATCTCAGCTAATGGCTTCAATAACAGTTATTGTTTTCTACTTTTCCCAAATCATCCCATTTGCAACTCTTAATTACAACTAAGAAAAAGTGGATACCAATGCCTGAGGTCATGTGAACTTGAAGAAAAGCCATAAAAGAGTGTGGTGCAAGCCCAGCTGGTAACATTGTTTCGCCTGAGGTTTGGTCTGACATTAAATTTACAGACATCATAAATGAATCTTTTGGCAATAGCTAAATCCCCAACATGCCTATTTCAAATGGTGTTTCTAAGCATGGGGTTGTGGTAAACATATATTCTATTTAGAGATCACAAGATATTATATAAATCAAGTAACACTATTGCATATAGGCTGAATATCAAATCCATGATACATGGTAGCAAACCTCTCCCCAAATAACAAAACAAACAAATCAAACCCACAATTAAGGAGAGCATCTCTGAACTAAAAAAACTTGTATAGATTTATGTCACCACTGTACACACCATATGCACAACATATACTAAGTATGTTGTTCAAATTAAATATTGTAAAGTTTATGATATAATGCCTATGATTTCAAGTGTCATTTGATGTACATTTATGCTGTACAAGATATCAAACAAAGGCCCAAAGCCATGTCTGTAAAAGGGTGCTCGCGTGAAGAGAGTGAGAGGGCAGAGTGTTCTTCTGCTCCAGCACATGAGCGCTACTTGCTGATGGAGGGGAGTGTTGTAATCTCCTGAGAAGATTACACATGGCCTGGGGTGAGTGGGGAACAATATTGCTCCCCCTCTGGAGTTTAGAGTGGAGTCACTCTGTGAGGGGAGCCAGGACCCTTGTCCACTTCCATCAGCCCTGGTGACATGAATTTTCTCTGACACGGAGATATGATTGCCAATCTGCTCCATCGGCACAGAAAAGTACGAAGACCAAGACAGAAACCTCAGCAATCCTCTACCAACTTCTCAAGTTAACATTGTTTTGTTTTTCTCTGAAACAAACTCTTTAATACAGAATACACACTCATACAGAAACCACAATACTGACCATAAAGACCAAATACCAAATAAAACATTGTGCAACGCTGAAGTGCTTACCTTTTCCGCTGACTGCGAAGTTCCAAAGAAAATGGGAATGAAAGCGAGCCATACTATACATGTTGTGTACATGGTGAAGCCGATGGGCTTGGCCTCATTGAAGGTCTCTGGGACGCCTCTGGTTTTGATGGCATATACTGTGCAGGTGACCATCAGCAGCATGCTGTAGCCCAGCAGGCAGATTAGCGAGAGGTCTGATATGTCACATTTCAGGACTCCACGCGACATCTCTGGGTTGGCTGTGCGCTGGTCCTCATAATCGATGATGGCTTGAGATGGGTCAACTCCAAACCAGATGCATACACCCAGGAGCTGCACTGATATAAGGCTGAATGTGATGACTAACTGGGAGGCTGGGGAGATGAACCTAGGTGCACTAACTGACATTTTTCCCTGCTCAAAGATTCTGTAGATCCTATTTGTCTTTGTCAGCAGGGCAGCATAACTTATGCTCATCCCCAAGCCAAGGAAAATCCTTCTCAGAGAGCATATAAAGACGTCAGGGGTGGAGATCATGAGGAAGGTGGTAGCGTAGCACAGGAAGATGCCTGTCAGCAGAACATAACTCAATTCTCGGCCTGAAGCCTTCACAATAGGTGTGTCATTGTAGCGCACAAATGTGGCAACCACAAACAGGGTAGCCATGATGCCCAGCACAGCAATTAGCACAGGGATCACTGCCCATGGGGAGTTCCACTCCAGCTTGACAATGGGGATGGGCACACAGCCAGTGTGGTTTTCATTTGGCCTCAAATCAAAACGGCACATCTTGCATGTGTATGTGTCTGCTTGATACTGGTAACCATCGCAGTTCTCGCAATGCCAGCAACATGGAATGCCCTTCACTATCTTCTTGCGCTGCCCTGGACGACAGGGCTGGCTACAGATGGAAGAGGGAATATCTTGTGTTCCACCAGGCCACTGCATCTCATTGATCTGAAAAACAAAACAAACAAAAAAAAAAAAAACATTTTAGTTATGGGGACATACACTTTGTACAAAAAACATAATGAAGAAATATCCATACATCTAGATGGAGCTGATCAGTCCAGTGGCCGATGATCTTATACTCCATTGTTTCATTTGCAATCTGGTATTGGTAGATTTCATATCGACCTGGTGCATCTCCATTCACATTGAAGACAACAGGTGTGCCAGCTATACCTGTAAATAAAATTGCATGGGAAACTGTTTATTGGTTATTATTATGGGCAGAATAACAATGAGGTTGAATTTAGACTAGTGCAACATTGAATTTACAAGAGCTTAATAGATGCTGACAGCTGTGTTGTCCTGGTCCTTGGTGGAGGGCCTTGACTGCTGTCTGTTCATATTCCCATATAATTTCACACCCTTTCGTTCTACTTATTGGCCTTTTGCTTGTTATTTGTTTAGCTTTCTCTCATTGCACCGAGAAACAACAACTGTTATTTTAAGATACACTTTGGGTTCTTTGTATGACTTTTCAAACATTTTACTAATTCCCATGGCCTGTTAAAATACCTTAATTCACTTGAAATTGAAATGCACTGTTAGAAATAGGTTTATTTATAATGAATGTATACAAGTATGCAAATTTCAGTTTTATTTCTCTGATAAACGTGTTTCTTGATATATTAGTGTGTTTGTGATCATAGGTCTAATGATTTACATTTCAAACCTGGCCTGTTTGTCATGCTGGCGAGGAGCTGTCCTTGATGCATTTTAAACAGATCGATTGCTAGCAGTTGTAATGTTTAGAAAGCACCCACCATGGCAATGAAATTAAACTTGTGATGGACAGCTTTTTCAAGTTATTCAAAGTAAATTGGCAATCGTGCCTAATGAAATAAGTGGCATCAAATCACTGTGTTGAGATGCAGTGTTCTCTTTTAGTGCAGCAGGACTTGCATAAATACTTTGCTCTTAGATATTTCTAAACTGTTATATATTCAAAAGGTTTTATACCATTATATTTGGTTTCTTCTAAAATATTATGAATAGAAAAAATTATATTAAAAATCAGTACTTGACTTAATAAATGTAATGCATGTCCTTTTAACTTCACTGAAAACACACAGAATACTGCATGTTAGATTTTTCCCAGAATTTTGTAGATCATTTTTTTCAATGTTTTAAATTATCCTTTCTGCTGTGTACTAAGTCTTAAAAGCAAATCACTATTCATATAGGAATGTGTAGCAGTAACACAGATTTTTTAATAATCCCTCTTAACACACCAGTTGCAGTAAAATATATGACATTAAGACAATACTAATGAAAAACATACAAAAGTGTGGCTTGCCCAATGACAATAGCATGGTATGGCGGTAATGGAAATCTAACTGCCAAGTAGGTAGGGGTAGGTAGGGGAGCTTCTCTATCTACTCAGCTACATTCTTTCATTGGGAACTATATTTTTTATTTCCCCCAAATGAGAAGTGACCTGCTTACATAGTAATAAGCTCTGAGGAACAGGTAAACAATGTTTCGACTTTGAAGATTTGGCCTCAAGTAAAACACAGCTGAATGTTGTTCTGTTTCTCCTCTGTTTGCATTACGAATGAATGCTAACTGCTGCAAATGTGACATAATTGTCAAGTTTACTTACATTCACCCAAAATCTAAAGGTTAGATTTTAGAGTTTTTTTTCTTATCCCTCTTATTGTCTTCCTTTTATTGAGATATCTTTCAACACACATGGCTTGACATTTGTGAAATGAGATGAAAAATGAGAGATGTATGAGATAAGAAAACATTAAATTTTTATTTCTGTATACTGCTTTAGTTCTATGAAAAATAAATTACAACTAAATTGGGAAGACCATGACTAAAACAAGACTATATATAACATAACATAACATAAACATTTAAATTCCTAACATATTTGCATTTTAGGCTCTAGAGAAAAGAAAACATTTTTTATGAATCACGGTAACATGACAGACCTGCGGCTATTGTATTGTATGGCTATTGTAATGCAGATATTTTTGATAACTTAACAAAACACATTGCTTTTACAAGTACAATGAGGTATGGAAGCAACTGTATCTCTCTTGCCCATCCAACCAGGATTGGTCTCTAACAGACCCATGTTCTCTCACTTGTGCTTTTGCTAACAGTTCAGTGTATTTAGTATTCTGCAGCGCTGCCACACTTCGCTCCCCGGTTATACCCAAATACATTGCCTTGCAGTTTTACGTCCACCTACATCCACTTATTTACACCTCACTGGCTTCCTCTCACCTGTAGATCCCACTCTATAATCTTTTAAATAAATATATCCATGCCTATATATTCCCCTGTGATGAGCAGCTCCTACCTTGAGTCTGTTTAATTGCCTGAATGCTCTGACCCTGAATTCCTCAGGTGTACTGTATAATTACCTAAGGTTGTTCTGGTTCCTGTTGCCTACACATGAGTATATTTGCATATGTTTTATGTAACTTGCGATATTTAAATAATCTTAAAGAAATGTTTCCTCATCCCTGCAAAATTTTAATATCTTTTTGATGTCACAATTATATATATATATATATATATATATATATATATATATATATATATATATATATATATATATATATATATATATATATATATATTTATTTATTTATTTATTTTATTTGTCCATAATTCTTGTGATAACGCATGAGCTGAAAGAAACTTCAAATTAACCAAATTATACAATACTATGCAAAAATATTACCACAGAACAGGAGCAAGATGAAGGATAAGTAGGATGATTGAAATACAATTTTACACTCAAAAAAATATTAAGCATGGAAGGAAGTTTTATCAAAAATATAGTGAAGTTAAAATTTTAATCTTGATAGCAAATTGAGTGATGACCAGTTTCCCATCAGAAAAAATAAAGAACAAAGCTGTGCACCTGTGAAGTTTACTTCCCGAATGTACTTGAGCAGCAGTGTGCCGTTGATGGTGTCCATTTTGGAGCAGAGACCGACCTTTCCGGGACAGAGATCTTTGTGCATGTTGTGCAGAGCATGGGCCATGGAATACACTGCGTCAATGACAAACTGAACTTTTCCCTCCTGTTCATAAGAAGAGTCTTTTCCAATTCGCTCATGGTCTGAAAGCAAACACAAAACATTAGTCAGACTTCCATTACAGTCCATAAAGGCTGCTTTCAAGTGATATCATTAGATTCTAAAGGGCGCATAGTTAGAAGCTCAGAGGGAGTCGGCTTAGATCATTTTAATATTTCACTGTGATATTTTGACCTGTTTTGTGGTTGTTTATTGTCAGTAATTACTGGGCCCATATTCATTAACGTTTTACATCTTCTCAACACAAATGAACTACTGTGATGTTTAAAAATATAGCTTCAAAAATATATATAGATGTATGATATAGTTCAGTCTTGCAGCATGTGTCATTTTTGGCAGTAGATGGTGTACAGAGTTGTGACCTTAACCTCTCAAGAATCTTGTTGAATATTTTTGGATTTTCTGTTTGGACATTCCTTGTAGTGCTGCATCATATAAGTAGTCAAACTGACACTTCAAGGCAAAACATTATAATAAATTTACTTTATATGCTTTTATTTGCATTCTTATGTGGAAGAACTAAACAATAACAGCTAATGCATAAAAACATATATTGATTACACCATTGTGCTGTTCAAGAGGTTCAAATATGATGAATGCCCCTACTTATGTTTTTGTGCCTCAATCATATTAATCAAGTCTCTTTTCACAGATGGTGGTATTATTATGATTTTTATTTAATGGCAGTAATGTTCATTAAGGGTTGGATTGAAACTTGTATTCTTCTACATTGTCCAGTCTTCTGTTGGTTTTGTTGACTCAAGTTCCGGTTTCATCCCACTTTTCACATTAAAATATGGACTAAGCCCAAAACTAAACCTTTTTTTAACAATGACTAAACCATTACAGTTTTAGATACTTTTCACTAGTTTTATGATTATAGTTATTACTACAATAATTGTGTGCCCTCAGCATTGACGTGCCACATCAGATAATGCATCTGGTAATAACGAGCAGTGAGTGTGATGGAGTGGTATGGGAGCTGAGGAAGACAAAGCAAGACAGGCTGAACCATTCTTGTGTATTATTGTAATTAGTCATGACAGGTGAATATTAATCATTGCTGGGCTCGGTCAGATGCTTTGGAAATGTGTAAATCAAGCTGAGTTTCAGTTAGAGACTTAATCCCTTTTATTAGCCAACGTTCTGGTCTACGTTGAGCAGAAAAAGCCAATGTAGGGCTGAAAGATTATGTGAAATTGAATGAATATCACAATTTGAATGGTTGCAATTAGTAAAAGGTTAAAATTAAGCAAGTAATCTGAAAGAGGCCAAAATGCCCAATTTCCTGCTAAGCCTGACCATTCATTACAAGCAGGTTTTAAAATGCATGTTGTCCTTTTTCTAGGTTAGCACTTAATATTCTGCCTTTTTTCCCTTATTCATTTAAAAACTGAACTGTGAACACATCTTTTGAAAAAAAAAAAAAATAAAAAAATATATATATATATATATATATATATATATATATATATATATATATATATATATATATATATATATATATATATATATAAATGGTTTATCAAATTGTTTCATCCTAGTCCAATAAAGCGCTGTTGTGAGCAGCTCGATCATGCTGAGACTCTTTGCCTTAGGGATAAGTCTGATATAGAGCCAAAAAGTTTTTCAATACTTCATGCCTTGACTGTAATATTAACTTGTGAGTTTTTCATCACAACATCATTTGAACTCTAAACAATAAAGTTGTGAGAAAATTGGTCAAAATGGAAAAGTAGGTTGAACTGAAGATGCCATACAGAAATGAAAACGGACTGTCTGAAACCAAGGTTAAAAAAAAAAAAAAAAAGACAGAACTAAAGTAATTATTTTTGTTACTTTAACACTGCCTACAAAATAGTGTTAAACTATTTATTAATTATAGGAATTACATTGGAAAATTTGTTTTTTGCTCCTTAGTTATATAAGTATACAACTCCTATGTGCTGAAACTATTACTTGTGAATTTCCATAATTAATTAATTCATTCATTTGTATATTTATATTTAAGATTGCCCTACTAACCTTTGCTCAATCAGTAATTCCAGATCATATCTTTTTTGTATCTTGATCTCAAATCTGTGCTATCTGATCATGCTACAAAGAGTGTTTTGTTGGCAGTTGCTCAGGAAGACCCAAGAGCCAAACACAGGACCTGTTCATGTTTGTATTATTGTTATCTAGTGGATTTGTTGTTTACTTGAAGAAAGCAGTTCAGGGTCCATGATAAAGCTTTGACTATGTAGGGCTATGTACTCTGCCAACTGGCTGCAGGCGAAAGTAAAGATAGCAAAGATAGTCACATAGCTGTCAGGGGCTTTTTATTGCTCCTACCTGTCTCATCACTACATGCATACACTACACCCACTGTCTCACTGCATATTTCATCCGCGATTATGACAGCCATACAGTGTTGACTTTGCAAGTTCAGATCCTGTCTACTGCCTCCCTGTGCATTGGCTTCATCAAGCACCTTATTTAACATGTCATGCAAGGTCTATTTTCTTAGACATACTTTTAAGGCCAGTAGAAGGTGGTAAATTGTGTAGTATATGATTCTTTTCTACATGTAGCTATGAGAAAAAAACAAAACAAAACAAAAACAACCAAAAAAAAATACATCGCATGCTGATGCCCTTGTTGCTTGAAGATGTGTTAAATCTGCTTCTGATCACTCAAGTTGTTCTATCTTTGTATTTCTTCAAAGTCTCTTTTCTTTTTCCAATCTCAAAACTGAATGCTGCTTCTCAAATAAGTAGAAATATGTTGTATTTGTTGCACATAGTCCTTAATTTGTGCTTGGAATGTCAGACATTTAAGCCTTCATCTGGGAGCTGCTCCTCTGCTGCACCTGATGACTCATGGCTGTACTAATGCAGAACAGCAGAGTGGCACAGTCCTGCTATGTGATCTGCGCTACACACCTGACCCATTGACAAGACAAGGCCCACAGTAAAATGAATGGTCTATGTAATTAATTTGGTGTTGTTTTAGATAGTGCTGTAATGTGTTACAGCTACAGCTCTCACAGTGAATGTATTTATATAGTTAAGCAGGATTTTATATAATGTCATTGTGACGGATGCTGTCCTCGTTGTTTTTTTTCCTTGCCTCACCCCACCTCAGTTCCACCCACCCCGGATCCGCCCCGCTGATCTGCCTCACCTGGTCCGACTAATCAGCGGGGGTATAAAAGCCGGAGCCAACCCGAGAAGTGTGACGAGTGGGTCCTCTGCTGCAGCGATCTTTAGTTGTTTATTTTTGTGTTATCTCTATCTACGTTTTTGTAATAAATATCTTCTTTTTTTTCACCTCACCACGCTTCCCGTTTTGTTCCACACCCGGTTCATTTTAACCTCTTTTTCAGTTACCGTGTCACCCCCTAGGCTCCCGTGGCACGTAACAGTCATGATTAATTTTTTAATTTATAAGTATTTTATTTGAGTACAGCAATAAAAATAGAACACATGGTTTGCATGTAATTTATTCAGCATTAAATTGTGTGTATGTGTGTTTTTTATGGTTTGGTGCCTTTTTTTTTTAAACGATCTTGATCATTCATAAGTATTTTAATAGTCTACTCTGCTTTATTTGATATCTATGGACAGAAATGTTGTATAGTAACCAAATAATGTTTATATTAGCTTAATTCAAGTAGAAAGTCAAATTATGGTTGGTATAGTTATTTAGTAAATGTTCTAGTAGGAGTCGTTATTATAAAATTTGAAAAAAAAAAAAAATGTCTAGCATATGTCTGTATAGGAGCAGTGCACAGCAGCTGTTCACTGTGCACATTAGCAGTGAAGTGAAGTGACCTGTTGTTTGGAGCTACAATAGAGATACCGCTACATGGGAAACCTTGGCCTTTAGGGCAGCCGCTACAAGAGGAGTGGGAAGCAGACTGAATTTAAATTGTACAACAGCACTCAGTGCGTTGTTTCCCCAGCTCCGGAGTCAAACACGTGAAGTTGTTCTGGTGTGAAGCTGTTATAATGCACAGGCATTTGACATAAGACTTCAGTGCATGCTTGGAATTGCCATCTTTGAGAGGAGATCACAACTGTCTGTATGTGTATAATATTGAGATGGAGTAGATAAAGACATGTACTGGGAACATGCTGACTTTTGACCTGATACAATGTTGCTATATAATAAAAATATATAAATTTGATATAGAATTATTGCTTCCCATCTGAGTGCATTATTTATTCTAGAATATGAATATGGTGTCTCCTCAGGTATTCACTGTATTTGTTATATTACTAAGAGTTCTCAGTTTTTTGTTTTGTTTTGTTAATTCACAAAATAAATACATGCCCTATGAACATATTGTTTTTAGAGTTGATACACACTGGAACAGACATTCCAGTGTGGACAAGTTTTCTGCCTATGTTTAAGTGCCCAGCTGGATGAAAGCCTGGCCTGTAGAGCCCTGATTATATGACCTGAAAGCCGCTTTTTAATGGACTGATTGGATTTACCATTGATTCTTATTTGGCGCATGCGCTTCCTCTTTACACTTTTGTGACTGCAATTGTTATACCCACTTCAAATTGAACCAGCTAACCTACCCCTAATGGAGGTATTTGTTTCATTGCAAAGAAAACAATGGGTTCAAATTCAATTACCCATCATCATTATACTTAAATGAGAAAAGTGTGACTGTTATTTCCCAAATGACAAATAGATTAACTTAATGCTCTGTATACACCAGTCAATCAATATAGTGTGATGAGTTCTTTGTATTGAACAAGATTTCCTCCAGCCCTTTGAACCACACTCACTTGTGCATTTCTTGATTCCTGATCCTTTCTTCACAGCATGTCGACTTAGCTTGCACTGAAAGTTGTTCTCCCAAAACTCAGCAAACCAGATATTTCGCCGATTGTTTTCGAGTGTGCGGCTGATGAAATATCTGTCAAAACCTGCATGAAATAACATATTTTCATTCAACATTTCACCATATTGGATTACATTGGTTATTATTGTAACACTAGACAAAAAGCAAAGTGCTGTGTTCCCTGTTAGCTTTTAAAGGTAATTGAGTTATATGATATTGGCTAATGGCACCTAAACATAGTGGGTTTCACAAAAGCTCTATTTTTTTCGTTTTCTTTTACATTTCCCAAAGCCACAGCCATATTTATTAGGTTACAAAAGCTTGTAAGAGGAAATTATAATTACTGTTATTACAATCTATACATTGACAGTGAATTAATATATTTCATTATTGTACTGCCTTCTTAATTTAATAATGATACCTTTGATGGACTGGCGCTTGGGCAGGATCGTAACAGCACCTTCTGCCATTTCCTCTTGGTTCAGGATGGGGGCAATTTTGGAACCCCAGCTGTCTGAACCGACCCAGATGAAATGACCCGTCTGATTGGCCTTCTTTGCAGCTTGCAGTAGTCGCCTTGAGATAAAGACAAAGTATATTTTCACATGCACACATAGGGCTCAAAAGTAGGTTACGGCACATATTGCCATTGTTGCCCTTATACAGGTGCATAAAATTTATAACAAAAAGCCATCCCTGCTTTTGGACTCTTAAGAACTTTGGCCTTTTCTAGGACATTTTTCCTCAACCTCAAACATTTTCTTAAGGATTAATAGTTATTTTATGTTTATCTTAGAAATAATTTTATACTTTTTACCGACTTTTCTTTGAATTGATCATTTTAATTTCTTACCTTTTTATTACCTACTTTTTACTTGTAAAAATATGAGTGTTATTAGCAAATAAATTAATGAGCCATAATGTTTATGGAAACCTCAAGAAATATAAATGTTAAATCAGTAACTTCACAATACAAATCATTATTCAAGATGATTATCTCCTATTATATATACAATAAAATAGACAATGTAACAGCAACATTATAAACCTCTTGCACTTGTATCTTTACATTTACTTGAACCCCAAGCAATTGCACTCATCTCACTCTGACAGGGTTCAAGGATAGAGCAGGCATAGAGTATGAAAATCCCCCCTGGCTTTCTGTAATTACTATATATCCAGACTATTAGGCGTTATCAGGGCCGGATTAAGTCAATGAGCAATGGGGCTTTGGCCTGGTCATCGTCAGGAGACTGCCCAGTGCCTGTCCGTCTCACTGTTGCCTGGGCAACTTGGCTCTCTGCTGGGGCACAGCAGTGCAGCTCTGTGTCTGCTGTTCAGATCTTCAGCTAATTAATTTGTTCTTAATTTGGACCAGAGTCTTAATGGGAGATAATGAGTTGCAACAATGCATAGTGTGTCGGTGTTTAAAAACAGGCACTGAGTGGTTTGCTGTAGCAGTTTTTCCCATCAAGGCAAGAAGGCATCAGCTATAAGGAAACAAGATTAAAACATAACCCCATGACCTTCTCTATAATAGGTACATTTCACATTAAATTGAAGTCATATTTATCACAAGAACACTATGTTTGGTCTGCCATTTTAATTTTAATTGGCTCTAAATGCCACTCCTAAGCAACATTTGGGTGCTGAGATTCTTTGGAGACATCCACTGGGGAAATTTTTGACATTTTAATGTCAGCTGTAAAGAAGACCAGAGGGAAAGACCTTGTTCGACCTTTATAATAAATGTTAAGCCTTATGACTTTAAATCCGCATATATGAGGAACTTTGGTTATTACACTGGACTGGAGACTGAATGAGACTAGTTGGTATAGCAATGATAACAGCACCAAATATTATAAGTTCTTGGCCGTGAACTATTTCCACAGTGGACAGAATGTATGAAGTGTCTTGCCCAAGGACATAATGACCATGTGCACTTCAGTCTGGTTTGAATAGTTATATTTTAATAAATATGCATAGCACCATATTTTCTTGACCATTTTAATATTCCTCTTTGCACAAAAACAGTGAAGCACATTCCTAGTTTGTGTGAATTTTGTTCACTAAAAATGGCAATAAATTGTTTTCTCATTCTTGCATAATATTTTGTTCATGTAAAGTAATGTAAGATGATGTGTTGCATACCTGATGTCGTCCTCATTGGCAAAGATTATGACAACTCTGGCATTGGGATTCTCACTAAGTCGGCGGATGATCTTGTCAAACTCATTCAATTTGGGTTCACGTGGTATTTTTAATGACTGTGAGATGCACAGGCCACCTGTAAAGACAGATGTTATTACAAATTATATTCACTACAAAATGAATTATAAACACTGTTTCATATTTTATGATTCATATGAAAAACATATATATTTTTTTCATTTTATTTTACCATGTGCAACTTCTTCTAAATCCTGAGTAGATAGTGCTCTTTGCTTGAGCATGTATTCTTTGGTAAATTGAAATGATGAGAGACGACTGCAGCATACTAACTAACTGAATCTTAGCATTCCCTGCACATTTGAGGATAGCCGTTTTGTCACTCTGGCAAAATGCCACAGTGAGTATGTGCATGCTAATGAACTTCCCTTTCGTGACCAGTACAAAGCCTTCTCCGATGGACAATCAATGCAGGAATAATGGCCCTTAGTTCAGTCCATGACTGCTGGACCCACACCATAAAACACAGGCTCCATCTCACATATCAATGGTCTCTGAAACATGAAATATGAGTAGACGTAGGGGTGCAGTTAAATAAAGTATTATTGTGATCTGCTGTGTTAGTGGCTACATGGAATCTCTTCCGTTTGGTTCAATACAGCTCTCACTGCATGGTCTTTTGTTCAAGCCGTAAACTGTGGAGAAATTTAATGAGTTTTTCTTGCAGAGCCTGACTTTGTAGATGTATTTTCTCTGGTCATGTATGTCACTACAAACATGCCAATATTGAACTAACAAGACCCTCAATCCTCTTAACGGGCTTCTGACATGCATTCTTTGGTTTAGGCGTATTTAACTCTGCACTCACCCATGGCTTATTTGTCAGTGCACAGACAAAAGATGCATTTTTGCACTTCTAAAAATGATTAGACCAGAGTAGAAGATGCACAGTTCTATTGTGAGCATTGTCTGATTGATTTTGTGACACACTACGGTTTGGGGCCCACAAAATGTGCCAAATGAGACTTTGGCTTGGCTGAAGGCTTGGATGAATTTATTGTTGACTTTGTGCATTTTGATGATTTTGAAGCGATCCATAAAATTGTATTGTTAACCTCATGTTTGCCAGCACTGCTCTGACAAAACCCATGTGAATGTTTATCTACTGAAATTAAATACATATGTAATTTATTTTGATTCAAAATATTTTTTCTTTATTTGAGTAATTCTATATTGAGTATTTTTTTTAATATATATTGATTTTGAAGACTTGCTGTATGTTTCTGATTTCTAGAATATTATAATTGCTTGTATATTGCAAAATTTAAGCCGCACTTAAATGAAAACCAATAAAATAATGAAATCAATCATGTAAGTCAAATATTTCAATTTGATTCAAGTAAAAAATATAAACAAAAACAGATTAATGCTCTTTAACTCTTATGTTTTTTGCAGTGTAGTCTTTTTCATCCACCCCTTTCTTTTTTCTCTCTCTCTACTCTCTAGTCTCACTGACTCTATCAATCATTAGACTGTACAGTTGTTGTTGCTTTCAGTCCCCCACTCCCTCAACAGCTGCTGTGTGACGGTAGAGCACTCGTCTCCTCTCCTCTCTCTTTGCACATGAGCGGCAGGCTGCAGCATTGTTTAACCTCCGGAGAGCAGAGGCAGGGCCAGGACCAGAGTGGGCCCCTGGGAGTTTGTGCGCTCTGAACAGGGGCCTCACGGGGGCTCTCCTTAGAACCACTCTCAGCTACAAGACATGGTTGTCCTGCAAACACCATACTGCACTTTAACACTGCTTCACTTGAATGAGTGTACAGCAAACATACGTTTATCTACATTTGTAAGTAACATTTCTTTATTTGTCTTGGTTTCAATGAAGGCCTTCCATATTTTTTGTATTGGAAAGCATTTACATGAGGAAAAGTAATATTGCCTGACTCAAAGTGAACATGCCTTATTTTTTGTATTGTTAAGTTGTTCTGTATCGTTATTTAAAATACTAGAATTAGCATAATTTTTTGCTTATATTACATCAGCAATAAAATACCATGTTCAAACACAATTACAGTAGAGTATTTTATTTTCTTAACTTTTATGATTTACCTCTGTATCATCTTTAAAAAGTAATTATTTAACCAAGATTCATTAATTAAGATAACAGCTAAACTCTGATATAGATACATATGTATCTATTCATCAAATATACAAATTATTGCCTGCCCATTTTTGTTATTAAAATAACTTATTAGACTGACACAGCAGCCTGCCATTTTGACATAGTGAACACGTTATTATCTGTCAAATCACATCATCTTGGTGAAGTTGCTCTGAAATTACATTTCTCTCCATCAAGTGTCTTTAATTAAGTCAATTGCTGCCCCACTCATTACATACGTTGAATTTAATTTACCTTTATGAAACATGACACTTTGTAAGCGACAGGTTCTCATTTTTGGATTCATTTCAGTTATGGACAAAATGTAATTTAAGGCTCTTCTCCTTGTCTTCACAGCACACCTCTTCAGACCTCTTTCAGTGTCCTAATATTATATTTGAAAATATTAGGATGATGTAGCAAAAAACAAATTACCTGCAAAATAGTTCGGTGAAATCACCTCTTGAATTGCAGTTTTATGACTATAGCACTTTACATCTTACATCACATCTTTGGATGTGTATGTTTACTTTTGCCTGCAATGGTTGAATCCTCACAACTATTCACCCATGGGAGTGTCTTTGCTGATGTAAACATAGCATCCACTACTGCTTCTTCCACTCTTCCTGAGGAGCAGTCCACTGCAATGTGTATGTAATGGGCTTTTTTTAGAGAAGTAATTTGCATCTAAAACATGCATATGCTCAAGAAATGATCACTGTTAATTGCTCAGTAATACTATTTTTTACAAGCCAGTAATAAGCTTTATTCTTCTTAATTCTTTCTCCTGACCACTATCCTGAAAATGAAGACAGATCCCTTGATGCTGCCCTTCCTATCATATTGACTATATTTATAAAGCTTTTTTCATACAAAAATGTAACACAAAGTGCTTCACAATCATTACTAACAATCCCACCCTACCCCACAGCTGCTTGAACTCACACAATCATCACAACCCACACTCAGTCACAGTCTTACCTACATGTACACACAGACATATAGACTTACATGAGGCTGGGTATCTAATTGCCCTGATCTCCTCACAGGCTTTCCTATATTGCCCTGGATTCTGGATGGGTCAAATACACCACAATATTCCCAACATAGATAAGATTATGTATGTTCACAGCAAAATTGAGCTTATAAATCTATTAAATAGTAAATAATCACATTTCTATCACAGCCCAGTAACAAAACAAGGGTATTCACCGGTGGGAAGTGGGTTTGAACAAATACCAATTGAGCTACTGCTTCTCCAGCTAGCTTCAACTTAAGTTTAGTTGCTCAACCAATGAAGATTTTTTTCCCCTGAACTAAAATATATACATAGATACAATACTTTTGAGTCTTGTTCTGAGAACCCAGAACAGCGTGATAGGTTTATAAGATGACCTGTGATGTGCAACCGCATCTGGTTTATAAAGAAACTCCTCTTGCTGCCCAAGCTTTGAATTTTTATGCACTTAACAGAACAACCACTGTTCAATAATATCCACATATTGTCTGGCTGCTGACCATTAATCTAATGTACAGACCAACAAAGCTTGTTCTCAACTTGTCAACTTGCAAACTGTGGTGAAAGAATCAAAATATAAAAAAGTCAACAAGGAGGGGAGGTGATATAACTATCACATATAAATATCAGTGCCACCTTTGTGTATATTTCAAATGATTAATTCAAACAAGCCTCTACTGTTTTCTCCTCATTCCATCAAATACATGCAGAGATGTTCTTAGACCCCTGAGTGGCTTGAAAATGGACGGAATCACAGGGGAATCACAAACTTTTAAACTTTTAATGGAAATTAAAATATGTCCAATTTTAAAAATGAGCTTTTGATCTCTTTTCTCAGCTTGTGTTTTCCATAGGAATACAATTCATCAGCACAGAAAACACACTGCAGAAATGAATATCTACATGATGTCTTAAGCAGTTGACAAATTAATGTTTTCCCTATTTTAACTGCAGTTTGTATTGGAAGACACATGAAATAGAAAATCACAACATGCAAACACCAAATATTGCCTAACTAAATATTTTTTTTACCAAGTACCACAAGATTTCCAACTACAGTAGGTTCGCAACAGGCCTACTAGTCCTAGCCTATTCATCCAGGCAAATAATTTAGAAACCCACAAGAGTAATCCTTCTATTACTGTGCATATGGACTAACCCAAAAGGGTGCACAGCATAATAAAATTGTGTTACAAATAAAATTGTCTATAGATAAAGACTGGAGCTGCAGAGGATCATTCATATTAGAAGAAGCCCACTGGTCCAGAACTAAAATGACTTGAGTTTTAAGATAACATTTCAGTCATAAAGATATTACTCTTTTGGAGGGCAAGTTTAGACCAGGCTCATGTGATTAAGTTAAGTTCTTGTTCTAGACCAGTGTGAAGTGTCCTGAAGCAGCCACTAAATTCTCTCTAGCCCCTGAGGTGAAGTTCTGTCACAGGCTCACACCTCACTGGCCAGGCTGTGGGGACATAAAAATGAATTTCTCCCTCCAGGGATCAATTACACTATAATACCCCGTCATAATTATTATAGAAGGCCCTACAGAAAACCCCTGACTACCAAATTCCATCATTCTTGCATTAAAAAGGATAGCCTAGTTTAATTTAGCAGGGATATATAATGTGGTCATAACTGTACATTTTGTTGGTCAATTTGTCTTTGTAGCAGGTGTCTGTATGTGATTTATACTATTATGAGTAAATAGGATTTTCACACAGCTCCTCAAAGTGAATTTGGCCACAACCCTATTATAGCGCAGACAGTGGGAGATATAGACAGCGCCTGTGTGTAATATGACTAGACTGAGGTTCAGTGTTGTGTGCAGTTGGGAGAATGAGACTGAACAGGATTTAATGCGAGCAGAGTCAAGCGTCTCCCTCCAGATTTCACTATGCCTGCACATTCTGGATGTCTGGTTGGTTGTGTAAATATT